CAATATGCAATATGCAATATGCAATAGGCAAGCAGCTTGGTGTGAAGAAATCAACTGTGGGAGCAATAATTAGAAAATGGAAGACATACAAGACCACTGATAATCTCCCTCGATCTGGGGCTCCACGCAAGATCTCACCCTGTGGGGTCAAAATGATCACAAGAACGGTGAGCAAAAATCCCAGAACCACACGGGGGGACCTAGTGAATGACCTGCAAATCAATCATCTGTAGCAGAATTTTAGCATGCTACTATTTTAGAAGATATGTTGGTTTATGTGATCCTTTCAGTTGAAATTCTATAATTTGGAAACTCTATAATGAGTTTTTGTTGTTTTTACTGGTTTGTGGAGCACCCAGGATTATTGTTACAATATGGACAGCTGTATAAGTATTTTAAAATAAATAAAATCAATATATTACTAATGTAGTTCCACTTTAATAACAAGCACATTTTCCATCAGTTTTATACATGCATCCATACCACACTAGATGGCACTAACTAGCCAGGTACTTTTTTGCTCCACTGTTTGTAATACTGTCTCAGGTGTCAGCAGTCCCACATACCTGAGTAAAATTGCCAACATGACTATGTGCTTTTTTAGTTTGTGTCTGAATACATGAAGATAAGAAGAAATACTATGAGTGAAATCAAATGTATAATCTTTTCACTGAGGGAACTGCTGTTAGGTAAATAGAAGACTGCAATTTGCCATTTTCACTGCAACTTTCTCATGTACCCTCAAAACCTCCTCAGGACAACGAAAGGACAACCAAGAGCAAATCTAGTAGAAAGGCAGATAAATGCTGGCAGTGGGAGAAGAGGAACGGGATGTATGCTTATGTTGATACTTATCCAAAAATGATTAAACTCAAGGCTTCAGTTTTGTGAAAATTAGCTTACTGGAGGTTAACTGACCTCTCTTTTCTGAATGTTTGTTCCCATCCATCCATTTTCCCTTAAAAGCTTCACCATCCTGTGTAACAAACATAATTTCATTCCTATTTAGAAAAATATCAGACATGTACACTTGGCGGCCATAGATCCATCGGCACTGCTTCATTGGACTGTTGGCAGATTTCCAGCAGAACACCTAAAACATAACATAGGAGGAAGGGAAAGAAAAATATGTCTACATCAGTTGCACTGTACATCCTGATTAAGTGCTTCCTGCATTTATTATTTTCTGTACTGAGAAGTCCATAGAGCCTATTTTACTTCAGAAACCTAATTGTGAATTTGGTCTCTATGTATAGTTGCATCAATAGAATCATAATCTTAAACCAATTCAAAAAGAAAATTTTCAATGTTAGAAAAGGGGAAAAAGTGTGGGGGGAAGCACTATTAGCATGCCTG